GAAATGATCTGCTGCATCTGTTTGTATAAATTATTGGAAACAAAAACAGTGAAGGAGTTCTGACCTGACAATACTAGCGCGGTCATTATATTCAAAGAATAAATAATGAAAGTGGTTCCAGACAAGATTCTTGCCACTTTATCTCTACTACTTACTATGCAGCCTAGACTTAGGGCCTTCGCGTTATAGGTGGTAGTTGATTTGCATGTTAGTCGATTTTGTGACGTCACGAAGCGTATGCCCCGCCCCCAAATTGCCTATGTTCCAATCTTCTTATCTGCAATATAATTAAATAGAAGGCCCTGGGTCTCGGCTGCTCACTATGTAATACTTAAACGTTTTTAACAATGATCTTATATGCATGGTGTTATTTTTAAGGTCTTAATGATCAACAGTTTGTCCGACGTTACACGTGGAGTGACAAGACTCCTTTGGACTATATTAATTGGAACACCAATTCATCTAAACAGTTCAAAGTAAATGAAAACTGCGTGAAAATGCATACAAAAACAGGCCTTTGGGAGACAACACGGTGCGATACCAGTTTGCGGTACATGTGCAAGCGGAAATTAGGTAGGATACGTTATAATCAAAAGATAACATAACTTCATCTCAGCGAACAAGTCTGCTTCCATACTAAAGAATGAGCTCATATAAGTAACGATAATATCTAAAACTTGAGAAATAAATGAAAGTAACCATAGAGGGGCCAGTACACCAGACGCCCAATATACAAAACGCATATCTGAGAATGGATGCACGTATGATGTGTCTCGTCAAATCCCTATAATTTTAATTAGAGTTCTCTCTTTCAGAATGTTCCTCAGTGATATCTATAAATTCTTCAATGGTAACAGTAACTGATGCTTATGGCACTCATGGAGTAAATAAAGCCATTTTAACTGACGAAAAAGCGTGCGATTCTACTTGGTGTACAAACAATACGTCTGGGACTGCAAAAATCATGGTGCAAATTGTTTATAGTTTTACATGCTCATGCAGTTTAAACCATATCGGGCATATGCCACAGTTTTAAATTGCTCTTTTCGTTATAGGTTGATCTTGGCGAGTTAGTCCGTGTTACAGCAATTTCATTTCAAGGACGAGATTCCTACGATAAAATGCTTGACTTCCACCAATTATTTTACGTGAAGTCGTTCCGCATTGACTACAAAAGAAATGGACGTTGGCGACCATACTACATGGACGGTTATCATACTGTAAGTGAAAGTATATAAATTCTCAATGCTGGCAACAATGACCCGACACGCCACTCTATCGCTTTATTGGCAATGATGTCAATGCGCAATGTTTCCTTAACCGCATTATAAATGCAATGTATCGATCCCGCCGAACAGCTGAGGGTGGAAGATTGTTGCCCGCTGCTACGTATACCACCTACGCATACAAGACAAAATGCGGAAGAGAAATTTTTGAAATAACGATTTGAAAGATCCTCTTAACTTTCAAACGTATACATTAGAGAGGTTAAGATACCCCGGTTTCGGTGTACGTGTACGGGTAGCATGATTTTGGTTAGCAATATTTTCGTCGATGTCTGTACCTTTACTCGTCATTAAGGTGCACATTTTTCGCATTATATCATTGTCTATTGCAAGAAAACAGAAAAAGTGTGATCGAATTACAGACATCAGTAAAACAAGATGACACTACTCGTACCTGTACACCGATACCGGGGTATCTTAACCTCTCTACTGTCTAAATTCTGTACTGTGATTTATACAAGGAAACATTTGAAATTAATTAAAATTTAATTCAAACTTTCCTTCACATAATCACATCGTTTAGAATAATCAACGCACAGTAAGTGAAACGACTGTAACCCTTTTAATAGGCCAATTTTGTGAAAACAAATCTTTAACATTTTTTCTTGCAGACGGCTTAAAACTAGGGTTGGTTAGTTTTCACAATTTGCTTGATTTCTAATGTTGGAATATACCGTCTGCATGAACTTGATTTTGGCCTCACTTTGCCCTATAACCAGGCCTGATTCAAGATGGCGGCCTTCAGTTGCTATCCTAATCCTGACAACCCTAACCCTAGAAAGTCACAACTATACACCATTGGCAAAATCTCTGAACATATTCGCAATGCATGTGTGCAGTCAGTTTCTCATCAGGTGTCATCAGTAATCTGTCGTGGAAATGTTTGCTATTAAAATAATAAAAACTAGAAACTTATATAACTGCATTGCCCACGCGCTTGGCAATCCTCTAATATGGTCATTTTGGAATTTTTATGTTGCAGACAATACTAGGAAACCAACACGGTGCTGTTGTTAACACCAAGACGTTTAAGCATCCTATCACATTAGATGGGCTATCAATTACACCGGTCACTTGGTTTGGGGAGCTTATTTGTATGAAAATACGACTTCATGGTTGTCCTTACGGTGAGGAAACCCATATTACATTATAATATTTGACATTATCATCCGACATTAAAGCATCATATCACACCTTTAATTATATGTATAAATTTTAGAAATTTTAGATCAAATCTATCTGGGAGGTCCATGATGTTGACTACGCAGTCAAAATGTTTGATGATTATGCATGCATGCATGCGAATTGTATATTTGATACCATTGTGATCGGTTTTTGGTCATTTTCTTTAATTTGTTTTTAATTCAAGCATGCATCATGTGCTTAATTATTTTTCTCTAGTGTGCCAAAACCAGCTATTGTCTGCCTTTCCTGAAAAAATGAAAGGTGATCTTGTTACCGCATCATCAGTCAAATATCCAAAGAATAAACCGAGGCAAGTTGGAATGGATGGGCTTTCTTGGTGTGCCAAGGTAATCATCAGTGATATTTTTATGGTTTATCGACTCGCTCCGGACAAACCCCTTCGGGAAATATCATCACTTCGGGTAATATTTCGCTGAATCCCCCGAGCGGAGGGTCTATAAATGGTAAATTATCAGTACATCTAATTAAAATCCTCCAAGTTGAGAATAACCTGTCACATATACCTATTTTCTAATCAACCTTTTTCTAAAACTACAAACGTGGACATAACGTACTTGTTAATAAAATTTCAATTAACCTCTGAGGGTTTAAATTGTAGTCTGTGGAGAAAATAATGCCAACAGTTGGGTGGGGAGAGAGGACAAGAAGCTAATAAAGTTAGTTGAATGTATTTTTCTGAAATTTCGATCTATTTTATTAATTAATATGCAATTTTGTCCAGGATTGTAGCAAGTATATTTGTTGCTTTTTAAAATAACCTTTGAAATATTGATGGTAACAGTTTTTAAAATTTGCTTTAAGGTGGCTCCATACAGTTCCGTAGTATAAATGCCTTATTGCGTAAAAATTTCAATTTATAAATTTTATCACTTCATCTATTAATCTTAAGCATTCCCGAGTATAAATTAAGTATTTGGTAGAAAAAAATTGCAATGTTCTTGAACATAATATTGTTTCCATGGTAACAGTAGTCTCGCCAAATATGGTATTTTTTGCTATTTTAAGCAGGTTTTTATTATTTATTTTCCGAATATTGCCGGTGACACCCCATTTTTAACTGCTGTATAGCTTTCACTTTTAATGCTGAATCTTATCCCTGAAAATAAAAAAATTCTGTAGATTAGAATAGCCAGAATAAAAAATTGCGGATTTAGAGTTTTCCAATCTACAGATTTTTTTAAAATTTTGATATTCTATTTGTTTTAAAAGAAGTTATCGTTGTGCAAAATTTCATCACATGTCACCGTGCAAAATTTTGAATTACGCCGTTTTATTGTGGTATCTCACTCGCTCGGCCGAAAGTTTTTCGAGCTCTGCAAGATCAATGAATTGACATGCGCGTACATGTTTTCGCAGGCGCATCTCCAGAAAAACACGCACAAAAAGTTTTTAGTCTCGTCGAAATATCAAATATATGTTGTGTTTTCTTGCTTAGAAATGCAAATATCTTTAGTTTTGCATGCTAACTCGTGATAACGCAAAGAAAACAGGTGATTGTGTCGTTTGGTATAAGATATGTGTGACATGTATGAACTTTTTGGCTTCTCTACATAGTTTTATATTCGTTTACAGTCGTAACTTGTGTGTTTTGATGTTGTTGTTGACAAGTTAAAATAGTTTGAGCCGGCGCATGATGCTGTTTCACTGAATTCCTTTGCTGTTAGCAACACGTTGAATACATTTACCAGTTGTAAGTCCAAAAAAATCTGGATATGAACTTATAAATCGCCAAATATTGGAGTAAAAAACTTTTCGCCGGTCGGGCCGATCGGCGATCGCCGGTTTTCACAAGAGTTTGAACGTTGAACATTGCATTTTTTTACCTTAAAATGTCTTCTAAAAAGACTATGTCCAGGGCTAAATCAGGACGAAGTTTGTTCTTTGAGAACAAATGAGAACAAGGAAGACTCAAAACATCAAAATAAACATGACTTGTGGTTCGGATTTTAGACTGAAAAAGTTGTATTTATTTTTGCATATATTTTGAATGTTTTCGCGCGAAAACTCAAGATTAGGTACCAGTCCCCCGATTATGAAAAGTGTATGGAGCCGCCTTAAAATATTCAATAAAAAAGAGCATTCTTCAATGTTTAAAGAAATCTCAGTAATTCAGTTTGCGTTGATCGCTACGCGTGGTTTACGCGAATCCTATCAAGCTGGTGAAGCGATCAAACTATCCGTGTGATGTGATTGAAATAACACGCTGCGTCAAATACGATGAAACAAGGCGTGGTTCGATGATAAAGTTAGTGCTCACGTGGCACAAACGTAGCTTTCTGATTGGACACTTCGAATGTAAATATACTTCAAACTCTAATAATTCATAATCTTATTTGGCAAATCATGTCAACCATAATAAATTAATATGTCACGTGAAGAGGCTTTATACCTGATAAAACTCATCTTCATTAGTATTTTTTATATAAAAGTCCATCCTAATTAGTATTCTTGATATAAAGAATACTAATGAAACGGCATCTATTGCAGTCGTGTTTGAAGCTATTCAAAACACTTGTAGTCTTGTTTTACCATATCTAAAATGCTCGTGCTGCACACTCGCTTAAAGTATAATAAAACACTCGTACGTTTTTTTTCAATAGTACTTACAATAACAAACTCCTTATGGCAGGTAAAGAGTCTGTTATTGTAAGTATACTATTTAAAACACGCTAAGTTTACGTTTAGATCTTCCCTGGCTGACTGTTTTGACTTGGGACCAAGGCATGAACCAAGCTCGATAAAATTACAACGAGTAACATCTCCTTGCATATCTCGTGAAATAATACAATCTAATTTTTTTATTTAGGTGAACGACAAGAAACAGTGGGTTCAGTTTTATTTCAATGACGTAACTCTCATTTCAAGCATAGTAATAGCTGGAAATAAAATAGATAGTTTTGTGAAGACGTACTTCATTCGGTACAGTGCTGATGGTACTACTTGGGACGATTATAAACAATATGGAATTACGAGGGTATGTATCTGCATGATAACCTTATGGTAGAGGCCTTAAGCAAGCGACGGTTTCCACAACACAGATGTCACGCCTACACAATTTAGCCGTTAATAATGGCGTTAGATACAGTTTCGCCAAACAAGAACAGCTGTCGCCATCTATATAATGGCTTCATTGATTTCCGGTCGACGTTCGTGAATCAAGAACGTTAACGTCGTTTGCTTAATCAAGCTCTCTTTTGCTACCTTTTTTTTAATACGGATTGCGAAATGTTATTACGAATTAACTAAAAAGGTAAACAAGCACTTGCGTTTCTTAAAAACTGCACCACACGGATAATACATGTATACGGGCAAAAAGTACTGAGTAAGTACAGGCAAAAACGCAACCATATTTTCAAACATCGCATGGAATACTGGGAAAAAACGTGAAATCCATACTATTAAATTTGCAATTGCACCACTAAATCCATATATCCATCTATTACGATACTATGTCCATAGTATGGAAAAATATACAATTATTATGCATGGATAATCAAAATCCATTCTATTTCCATTAAAGGTCCATATAATGCCCATTCTACAGCTATGACCTTCTATGGATTTTCAAAATTTTTCCAGTGGAATTTAAACGACTCAGTGATGTTTTATCAGTGTTCTTGAATAACAGGACTAAGAATTTTCTCACATTTTAGCCGTTCAACCATTTTTACCGTCGAACGTTAACGCCGCTTGCTTAAAGTGGAAGTCAAGTCCGTTCTGCGCATCGGTTCTGCTCATAACAATGTGAGGACCCTCTGATGTAAACATTGCCCAAATTTCGAGTGTTTCGAATTTTTCTGAACATAAACTCTATTTCATATTCGTTTCGAAGCATAGCGAACCAAAATAGTGTTAGATATTCAGGCAGTACATCATATTTTAATAAAATACAGCAGTTCAAAATGTAAACAAACCGTTTGTTTACATACGGACTTAACTTCCATGCACTTTAATCAAGCTCTCTTTTGCCACCATGCATCCTCATGCCGCTTAATATAAGTAATCACGTTAGCATGTTACGTTGTTGAAATCAATGGGCAGATATTGCAAAAAGAATTAATAAGCAAACTAATTTGTTCCTTCTCTCAGAATTATTTAAAGCAAAGCAGTGCAAAGCAAGGCAACGCAACGCAAAGCACAGCACAGCAAAGCAAATAAAAGCAAAGCAAAGCAAAGCAAGGAAATGAAATGAAGTGAAATGAAATGAATGGAAATTAAAGGAAAGGAAAGGAAATATCTGCTGATGAAAATAACTACTTGTTTTAGATTTTCCGAGGTAATCACCATCCTCTTCACGGTGTGACGCACACTCTAATCAATCCGATCGAAGCTTCCTATCTCCGAATAATCCCAGTCACCTGGAATGACAATATATGCATGAGGATTTCGTTACTTGGATGTAAAGCAGGTGTGATTTTAAAGTAATAGTTTTAAATTATTACTTAGTTTTTTTTACAGTGATAATTTTATCATTAAGTGTAATGCAATCATGCAGTATATTTGTACATATAATGCTCGTTTCCATATTTTCTGGTTTTTTCAAAACTCCTAATTAAGGAAATATCAAAACTACTAAGCTTGGAGTGTTTTATTGTTTTTAATTAGACTTATAAATTGTATTTTTAATTAGCTTGATTTTATGTTGTTTCCAATAATATAATCTTTTTGTAAAAACACAAGATCATTCTAAAAAATAAAATATTTAAATAATCTATTTTAAGGAGTTGAAATCGTTCCAACAACACTGCCTCGAACATTGCCACTGCAGCCAACTACACGTGAGTATTCTTCCAATTTTATAAAATATATATACAAAGTACAAAACAAAACATTCGTATGTTAGACTTGTGCTGTATGTACTTTAATTATATTTTTATTTATAGATGGCAACACAGACGTCATTGCTAAAACCGAAGGTGACTGGGTTTTGCTTAAAAATTTATAGTAAATTATTTGGAATAGTGTAATTAGACTTTCTTAGGAAATGCGATCAGGCTCTGTACGTCATTTTTGGATGGCAAACAGCATGGAGACTGTCAGACTGTGAACAGCAACAAGTGAAGGAGTGGAATTGGTGTGAAGTTAAAACACAGTACTATGTTTATAACTACTAATTAGTTCATTAAATCAATTTTTCGCTTATTTTTATTCTCTGTTGTTGTACCGTTTGCCATCCAAAACTGCATTGCATGCGGCGTGGCATGAGAGAAACTAATTCACCTAATTGATTGATTTACACAGTTAGTAATATTTTATTTTATTGTTCATATGGTACATTTGAGTTGAATCAAAAAGGCTTGTTGATTTGACTGTCGTGCGCGAAGTATGGCTAATATTGGAAGACTAAATCTAAGGCTACCTTATCACAAAACAAGATTCCACTTGCTCACTGAGGTATTCGTATGATTAGCTGACCTCAAATTCGTTCAGTGCCATGCGTCACGTGCGAAAGCGAAACTGGTAGAAATTAGTTGAGTATATTTTCAAATTAACTATCTTTCAAATAAAGAATGGGGAATTCGGGAAGTGCACGGGGGCACCATGTAGTCGGGAAACTGGGAGGTAGGGGAACTGGGGAATGGGGAAAACACAGAGTGGGACAAATATGGGCATTGGAATAGAGAGATCGAGTGCAGCAAGTATGGAATTGGGGAGTGGTGCAACAAGAAAGTGAAAACTTGCAGAACCGTGATGGAATTGGGGAATTGGGCAAGGAGATAGGGGATGGGAAATATGGGAGTAAAGGCTAACCGAAGGAGCTGAGAGAAGAAGGGCGAAAAAGGAATGGTGATCTGGGGGACGAGGAATGCGGAAGCAGGCTATGAGGATCTGAACAAAAATTGAAAATTGAATAGGCATCGAAAGAAACTTAGAATAAGAAATAAGGGAAATATAGGAAATAATCTTCTTGCTGTTTCACTGCTTGTTGGAAAACATATTATAGCATAGGCAGTCACAAATTCTTGATAATAAATTAAGTAACATATTGTACTACATTCCCATCAAAAAAATGGACCAGCAAAAGCTATTCCAGATTTATCCAAGACAAAGCACTCAAGTAAATAAACATAGCTCGGAATTTTAGGTACATTAGTATTTTTAACCAGTATACTGTAATTGTCTGTATTACTACCTTTTCGCTTTTTCTCTGCTCATGCCTGTGTCCTTCCACCTATCTATCTATTATAAAACTAGAAATATAAGCATGCAGAAATCCACCACCTTGCTGGCAAAAATACAGACTATATTTTCCGAACATGGAGTATTTGAAGTAGTTGTATTAATTAGAAAATTACCAGGTATGCTATTATACGTAATAGAACTTTTAAAATATTCTTAAAACTAAACTGCCTTTTATCGATAAACTTTAATTTTGAAATAAAATAATTTCAAATCCTCGCATGAAAATAACTTTGCTTTCCTCCTTTTCCTCTCCCCAATTTCCTACTCCTTTATTCCAAACTTTCTGCACTCCCCGTGCTATATTGCCAGCTTCCAACACTTCCCACTGTATTTCTCCCCCTTTCTGTTTCTCCAATCTCCAGTTCCCCTATACTAGCTTCCAAGTTCCCGTATTTTCTGTTGCCGCCGAATCTCTACTTAATTTAAAGGTAGCTGCTCCGACTCATCCGGTCCCGTGAGAACGGTGCTTAGCAGGAAATAGAAAGTTTCTTCATTATTCAAAGTTTCTTTATTTTCAGACAACTCCGATGGCTTATCAAATGGTGCTGTTGCGGGTCTTGTTATTGCAATTCTGTTGTTACTTGCTCTGGTTATTGCCGTTTCTGTGTTTTTCTTCCTTAAAAAACGGGCGAATTCTAAATTGGTTGAATACCCTAGTGCATATTCCAAAGCTATACTGAACGATGAAGATAAACTTTAAAATCTAAATATGTGGCTATATAAATGAAATCTGTTTTCTAAATACTTGCATGCATGGTTTTGGCAACTATAATATATACGTTTTAGAGTAGGCAAGTGGGCGTTCTCTTTATGTAACTTGCATTTATATAAAACTATTGATATATACTTTTGAAATATAATTTCCACAATTTGAAGAAATTAGATTGTCGGTGTTGCCTCGTTAAGTGATTCTAGAAGGCATGCTCTTGGTGATAAGTAAATATATTACTATTTTAACAAGATCCAAGATTCCAAGGCAAACTGCATGAGAGGTATGTATATACATCGGCGGCATCATTGTTGACATTACTATCGATATTTTGATCCGCTAGCGCTAGTACTACTTTTCGTAAATATAACGGAAAAGAGCACAAGGCTGACACGGGTATAGGCGCGTGCCCGAAAATGGATAAACCAAACCACCATATAGTTATTGTTATTGGTTGTGTTTGATCGAGTTTGTTTGTTCGTTCGTTCGATCGGGAGCCTGATTGCTAAGGCTTGTGTCTTCACGCTGTGGTACACAACCGAATGAAATTCAAGCTTCACACAAGTTTAGTTATGCATGGAGAGAATCATGCACGGACATAATTTATTCCACTTCCTTACTAATTTGCATATCACTATGAAATATGGCTCCAACAATATATAGTAGGTCGTACAACTCGATGTTGTAACCGCAAAATTGGAGAATATAGTAGATCCTTTGCAATTTGCCGCAATCGCTGGATGCAAAACAAAGCCTGTCGAAGAATTTAGTGTAATATCAGCCTGATTTAAGTTACTACCATTCCTGCTCTTTCTATATTTGTACAGAGTCCGAGGTTAATTTTAACTACATTTGTCTATTTAACTCTACTGTATATAAAAATACCGCACTAGGAATAAACTAAAAAGCAGGAAAAACAGCAACTTAATTTAAACTAGGCCAAAATTACACTAGATACATCGACAAACTTCGGTTTAGCACCAGCGATTTCGGAAAGTTGCAAGCGATGTACCATATTCTTAGATTTTACGATTTACCTCATCGCGTTGTGCAATCTTCTGTTTACAGTTAAAGCCATATTTCAAAGTGATATGTAAATTTTTATGGAATTAGAATAAATTATGCCCGGGATTTCTGGCCATGGATCATGTCCAACGGATATGCAGTTAAATTAATTAATCTTGCATTTATTCTTAAGTGTTTTATTTATGCCTATATTAATTAAAGCAATGGGCTACAGTATTCAAGACGCGGTAAACAGGGGCGTAAATGTGGGGGGTGTGGGGGGTGGTTCACCACCCCAGAGAAATGATCGAGTCGGTCTCAAACTACGTGCAGTCGGTCTCAAAATTATGCGTTTGTTTACACGCAGTGCTTTGCGGAAGCAAATTAAATATTTTCGAAACTCGAGATAGACTCAAACTATTGGGTATTGAGGTGGAAATTTGCTCAAACGGATCAAACAGCTCAGAAATAATATTAACAAAATATTACGTACTTATTTCGCGAGTTTATGAACGAATTATCAATCAAAACAAGCGCAAAGGGATGGAGTTTCCATTTACTTTCCAAACATGGAGATATCCACTTTACGATTACGTGTTGGCACTTTTATTTGGAATTTTAGGTTCTGCAACGTCATTCACTGGTGATATTCTATATCCCAAAATCAGACTCCAAAATGCGGTGAATCTCGATCAAAGTAGCTAACATTAGTTACAATATTTCTCCGGTCCCTAAACTATATTTTTAAGATGCAAAGTGCAAAAACGAATTTCTAGCCGAGTTATATTAGGAAGTATGTTCACATGTAAGTATGTAACACAATATGCAAATGAATTTTGTTACCAAAGAGTTTTTTGTGCCTACTGCAATCACTGAGAAATTCGATCAGTGAACGACGCACTGGTTTATCTGAAATAACGTAGCGAAAAATTGTTTCCACTGACTAAGCGATGTTTCCAATTGTTGCTTACAGTCAGGCCCATAACTAGGTATATGAGTCAATCGAGTTCAAGTTCACTATGACAGACTGTAGATCTCTCCATGTAAAGAAGCATCATTCTTGCCCTACAGTGACGTAAGAAATGGGAGGCTGTGTGGGTGCACAAGTACCCCAATAACAAATGTGCGGGCCAGCGCCCAAATATTACAACAATTGAGCAGAAACGCTTTTTTATTATGCACCTGATCAATGATGTTCGACCAAAGATATTTGTAATTCTTATCCGCAGGATTGGGGGCAAACTACAGTATAAAATTATAGTCATTGTGTCACTGTAATATGAAATTGATTTTTCGTTTGAACTGCTCCCAGAATGCAGGAAATACCGTTTCTAAGCCTTAGAAAATAAAACATTTTCTGGGGGAGCATGCCCCCAGACCCCCTCCCCCAGAAGTGTCTCGGTCAATCAACGAGCGCAGCTTTTCAAAGCTGAAATCAGTGAAAACTGTTATGCGTTCAGTAATGAACCAGGAACGCCTTGGTGAACTCTTGACTCTTTGCGTGTGAGTGCGATCTAACAGACACGATCGATCTTGACGAAATCGCCAATCCGTGGTCAAACCTTGCTAAGCGCGGACACTTAATAAAAATATAACGTTTCACAGCAAACTCAATTTTATTGCAACACACCAACTCACCAAGAGTCGGTCTGGATTCACATTTCAGTGGTGGGTCGGTCTCATTTCGTGACTACACCCTCCCAGTCAAAATCGATATGTCCGCCCCTGGCGGTAAAACATATATAAGCCTTATATCCAGCTTAATTAATGTTTCTTTTGGCATGCACCATACCGGCACAGAATAAGAAGTTACAGCAGTTGAGCAGAAGCGTAACTCAAGCAAGTATTTGTCCGCGTTTTTGCAAGCGATTCGTCATCAATCACGCCATCCTGACTAGTACAACCGACACTTTGTACCTACCAAAACCTGATAAAAACTTCCGGTTGTACTAGCCAGGATGACGTGGATTAGCGTGAGCGAGTTAAACTGTTTCGTGGACGTAAAACAATATTAAAGGGAAACGACTAGAGTTACGCTTCTGCTGTAACTTCTTATTCTGTGATACCGGCATACGTTTCAGTCGTCGTACGCGTAGGGCAGCAATCTTGGCAAACATTTTCCTGAGAGTATCCTTGATATATGGTTTAAAATTTATTTCTTCGTCTAATACGTTACTCCTAGAATTTTCAGAGTACGTGTCTTCGGTTGTGATAGTGTGACATGAACGTGTATATGCAAAAGGCTCATAAATTTCTGGATCTTTGGAATCCACTTAAGTTCAGCCTCTTGATGACTATTGCGCTTCTCTCATTCTTTTATTTTTAATGAGAAGGTCAGCGGAAATATCCACTAATTATGGCAGTAGTTCACGAGTATATATTGAACATTGCGCATTTAAATTGCGTGTAGGCTTTATGAGATGAAAAGGGCAACACCCATGCAAACTAAGGATAAGCTCGTATATCAATATCTCATTGTTTAAGGACACAAAATAACAATAATTTTAATAAAAAGTGCATTATCTGAAAATCACGGGCCTCTTGGAAGCACGGGCCTGTAGGCTCCAGCCTCCAGCCTTCACTTTAAAAACACACTGGTTAATTTTTAAAATTTTGAGTTTCTAGATCGTCCGAGATGGCATTTTCAGTCTTCTTTCCGTGCAGTCCTACTTCCTTTGAGAGTGTGGGTTTCGTTAAATGGTTTCGTGTGTATTTGGATCGCGTGCTCTTTATCGCGTGATATTCGTGATTATGTATATCGCGTGATATTTGCGTGATATTCCCGCGTCTGACGTGTAAAATTTCACTGGTAAAATTAAAAATAGTAAATATGGCGGCATTAAGAGCGAAGATACTGCGGATACTGACAAAATATGACACTCAAATAAACGCTCGCCTGCCTCCTGTTGGCCAACGATTTTGGAATCACGCTGCAGGTATCTGTATTGAATGATTCTGTTCGTTTTACGTTCGTTTCTAAAATATTACAATATGTGGTTTCATGTATTTTGTATTTTGGACACTAGTATGAGTGTATATGTTCAGTACCAGTTTGTACCTTAGTACACAACATTGATCATGTATTTATGTTAAGTTCAAGTATTGTACTGTTTGTCCTGAACAATAGATGTGCTCCATCTTAATGACTAAATTATTGTAATTGCTGGGGAGTTCTTGTGTTATTAAAATGTTGTATTCGGTTGTTCCGGAAAGATCCGACTTGCCCCAAGGAGGAAATTTCTGCCGTCAGAGGGGAAATAAAATTTGTTTCTGATAATAGTAAGTTTATTAGGACATCCATAGGGGGGTGGGGGGTGGGGAGGGGGCTTCAAATTTTCTTGCCGAAATGATTTTGAGGTTTTGTAATTAACAAATAGGTAATTATCATTTTGTCATTGTCTGTTCCGTTATTTTGATACTATCGAAAATGTATCAAAATCATCGATACTTACAAAAGTGTCGATACTTTCGATACTCGTAAAAAGTATCGGTAATTCAATACCACTTGAGCCTGCAATGTTTTTGTCAGTATTCCTGACCAATCTCTTAATACTTCATGAAGGCAACAGACTGAAGGCAAACAAAAACAAAAACATGTAGCTAATTAGCAATATATTTAAGGAAAACATTGAACACGTTGATATTGTTTAGATTTAAAATCATAATTGCAAATGTTATTTTTGATTATTTGGCAGGTACTCCAGTTAGAGTATTCTCTGACTTGTTAACATTAAAGATGCGGTACAGTCCGATCAAGGCTTGATGTTCAAGGCAATAAAATTATATTGTCTAAGGGCCTGTTCATATGATCCCGCTTACCGGGACGTCTCGCTTACCGATGATCTCGCCGCCTATCTATTTTCCTATAAAATTTTGCATTGTGTTCATATGAGAAAGCGAGCTGGCCCGCTTGCCGAGATCTCGTTTGAATTTGCCGAGATCATAGGTAGGCGGGATGAAAATTTTTCCATATGAACACGCCAGCCCGCTTACCGGGATGAAGTGAAACAAGTCTTGCCGGTTTAATTTAACACTTTTTACTTGGTTTTATGTTTGTTTTGTAAACAAGTATTAAATAACCACCTGAAGCAATACTTTTTCTTGTAAATAAACGAAGAAAAACACTAAAATCGCCAAGTATTTGTGTTGCTTGACTGAAATGTAGAAGTTTTGCATACGCTAATTATAGAACTACAATGTAATTTCATCTCGGCAAGCGGGACGAAATACTCCATATGAACGCACGGAAATATTCGTCTCGGTAAGCGGGACATCCCGGTAAGCGGGATCATATGAACAGGCCCTAAACAAGAAATGTAAAATTCAAGATCACCATTTTCTTCAAAATTTAAATTTCTTTTCAATTCCCATAATAAAAAAAACTGTAAGGAAATTTGGGAGCCCTGATAAATGTCTGCCTATTATATATTGCCTGTGGCCCAATGCAGTCCTATATATGCCCAGTTTTCTAAGTTTGAAATCTCTTGCTCTGTATATTTAATTATAGGCATGCAGATGTTACTCTTAAGGGGAAAGTATTGGACATTAACCCATTGAATGGCAGCATCAAATAAAATCATGTGGCAATAGACAGGGTAGAATAACAAAGTAGGGCACAAAAAGGGTTTTAACCCAGGTGGTTGCACTCTCGATCCCCCTGACGAGTAAAATCGTCTGGAGTACGTAGACAGAGTAATTAATTAATAAAGTAGGGCGCATGTGGACGCATTGCCACTTACAGGGTTAAACCAGGATACATTGCCAGTCTGATTAACTCATATTGAGTGGTAGCACTCTCCCTTTGACAAGTAAAATTGTCTGGCATTATAGGCAGAGTAAAATATAATAAAGTAGGCACGCATCGGGTGCATTGGGTCATTTCTCCAACATGAAGGAAATTGGAAGTCAACCCCCCTAACCCCTTCAGACGTCCTAATATATACTTAAGTACTATATATTATTAGAAACAAATTTTTCTTCCTAATTCCCCTTCCGGATGACAGAAATTTCCTCTTTTGTGGGAGTATGGATCTTTTCTGGAACGATCCATTGCGGCATTGCCACTTAAATGGTTAATGTTCTGCCCATATTGTTGACTCATGAAGCTGCAATGCATACTCTACTACTGTTCCCTACTATGTTATTTTAACCTACCCTCAGCTGAAGATAAGTATTCTAAATCTAAATTATGCTTGGGCATGAGTTAGTACTCGCAGTGTAGTGCTGGTATGAAAGAGCCTGGGTACAAGGTTGTGGATGTTCCAGTACATTTTACTGACTAATATCAGATTTTAAGACACACCTTACCATCCCCTTGCATCCTAGAACAACTAAATTAGATGTGTTGATATTTGATATAATCATGATTGTAATTATAGATCATACAGTGTTTCATTAATTTCAGCTTGTTTCTTTAATAGGACCAAAGACGATATTTTTCTGGGCACCAACATTTAAATGGGTTAGTAACATTCTTGTTGTGCATGTTCAACAAGCGAAAACGAGTTAGATGCATTTTATAAAGCTTTTTAAAATGATAAAATAATCTATCTTGCTGTTGTGATAAATGTATAATAATACCAAGACCATTAATATTCCACAATAAATCTCTCTCACAACGGTTTGTACGCCATAAATGTAATGTATCTACAGGGAAAGCAATGTTTTACTTGTACACTTAAATACTTTTCTTTTCACAAGTGAAAAAATGAGGAAAATCGCAAAAAAACCTGTCGAAAAAGAAGATCTCTTGTTTGATTTTTGCGCGAAAACACGCTCGCCCGAGGGCACTGCCGCATCACACGTCGATCAGTCAAATTACTGGCGTTGCACTGCCCTATATACAGTAAGCGCCCTGGATTGGATCAGTCATGTTTCCGTTCGCTACTCTGGTATTAAGATTAATGAATGCAATGCCCTGTCGAATTGCATTCACCTCTGATGATGGTACACTAAACCGGAGTGTTGAGTCGTGAATGCAATTGGACTGCAGTTTTGGATTCATTTTTGTTAAAACCAGAGTAGCGAGTGAAAACACTGATTACAGATATAATAAACTTGGTTGCACCTTCCTCCGGGTAAAATTTCAGTTTTTCAAACCTTCCAAAATTATGTGAATTATGACTTTTTCAATTTGCAAAATATATAAATTATGTCATTCAAAATCGGCTTAACTTATTCCTATTTCCATGATGGTTGTCCAATACTGTAGCATTTCACCACTCATGAAAAGTGTTTTTGCATGATTTGGTATATTAGACTAGGTATAAATTAATTCACGCGTGTGGTTATGCATGCTTCTTATATAATGATAAGCCCCTTACGGAATTCGTACGAATCGTTAAATTTGTGAATTGGTACGACTTCTGTCGACTCGTGACTTAGGTTCTATGCACCCGGGCAAATGGTAAGCCCCTTACGAAATTCGTACGACTCGTTAACTTCGTGAAATGTTACGACTCGTGACTTAGGTTCTATGCACCTGGGCAAATAGTAAGCCCCTCACGAAATTCCTACGACTCGTTAAATTCGTGAAATGTTATGACTCGTGACGTATAGGTTATATGCATGCACCTTAGCAAATGGTAAGCCCATCACGAAATTTGTACGACTTGTTAAAGTTCGTTAAATTCCACGAATCTTGTCGACTCGTGACTTAGAATTTGCACTGGTCAAATGGTAAGCCACTCACGAATTCGTACGACTCGTTAAATACGTGAAATGTCGACTTGTGACTAAATAGGTTATTTGCACTGGTCAAATGGTAAGCCGCTCACGAAATTTGTACGACTCGTAAAATACGTGAAATTTCACGACTCGTGTCGACTCGTCATGACTTACGTTATTTGTACTAAATGGTAAGCCGCTCACGAAATTCGTACAACTCGTTAAATTTGTGAAATGTTACGACTCGTGTCGACTCATTACTTAGGTTATACATTCACATTATGCACCTGGGCAAATGGTAAGCCACTTGACCCACACAAACACAGTTGGTAAGTGAAGTACTTTACAATTGATTTCACAAATCACAAGGCGTGACGAGTTGTCACGACTCGTGAGATGCGACAGTATTGGACATGCATGGATGTTCTGACTGACTGGCATTTAGGATTGATCAGCTGGTTAATTGCATATACAGACAAACACTGCAGGCTAGCTGGCGACTGCTATGAAATGTATATGTTACGATTGCTACAGAAACGCGGTCCCCTAAAGTAGAGTGTTCCAGATTAAACCTTCCTCATTAACACGAGGACCCGCACGCCTATAAATTGAATTATCTTGAAGGTGTTGGTCACCACAGCATTATTAGTCGAGGTGGTAAGAGTGGTGACATGTATAATGAATTTATAGTGAAATAATTTATGCGTGCATGAAATTTAACCCCATACAGATATGATGTAGCAAATAACTAACTGAGCTAACATACAAAGCAGGTTGTCATCACCAATTTATAATAATGTTAGCAGACAATGCCGCGCAAAGTTCAAATTGCGCCAAAATCTGGTCTGAAGAAAGAGTGCATTCTGCTTGATAATCGTGTGTATGGATTCAGTATGGAGATCAAGATCGAACAAACTGGCAATATTTTGATGGGTGCTTATTAAAGATTGATGCGTAATCAGTTAGGTATAATAGTCAAAAAGCTGTAGGTATCGCACCACTTAATCAGTTATTATTTGATTTAGTATACAGTATGTTAGATACGCCGGGTACCATGGATTTCAAGCAGGGCTATCACAACCGCGAGTTGATTGTAATATATTCATTATAATATACTCATTTCTATATTTTGTTACATGGCAGCAGAAGACAAATAATATTTATTTACATATATATACAGTGGCTGGTATAATACAAGAACCTTATATTATATTCATTTGTTCTTCGCATGACAGCGCAGTGCGGAATGCAAAATAATTATAAGCGCATACATATTATCTGAGTAATGAGTATTTATATATATATATATATAGGGGAAACTCGTGCACCATAAAGATGTCCCATCTTTTGCTAGCAGGTTATGAAGATGATCCATCTTTTCTTAACCAGTGAAAGCTTAAAAAAGTCCTATATTATAAAAACTCCTTAAAAAAGTCCTATAAAGTCCTATCACGCTAAGTTATAGAGTAAAGCGGTGCGTGCAGCGATAGCGCTCGGTTTTTGAATAATATCTAGAATACTTTTAGTGAAAACTCTTGTGTCAGAAAGATGTCCCATCTTTTGCTGACAGGTTATGAAGATGTCCCAGCTTTTCTTAACCAGTGGAAGCTTAAAAGGAGTCTTATATTATTCTTTACATCACGCTAAGTTAGGGTAAGGCGGTGCAGCTAGTGCTATAGCTTTTTGAATAATATCTATAGAATACTTTTAGTGAAAACTCTTGTGTCAGAAAGATGTCCCATCTTTTGCTGACAGGTTATGAAGATGCCCCATCTTTTCTTAACCAGTGGAAGCTTAAAAGGAGTCTTATATTATTCATTACATCACGCTAAGTTAGGGTATAAGGCGGTGCAGCTAGTGCTATAGTTTTTGGAATAATATCTAGAATACTTTAGTGAAAACTCTTGTGTCAGAAAGATGTCCCATCTTTTGCTGACAGGTTATGAAGATGTCCCATCTTTTCTTAACCAGCGGAAGCTTAAAAGGAGTCTATAATATTATTCTTTACACCACGCTAAGTCAGAGTAAAGCGGCGCATGCAGCGATAGCGCTAGGTTTTGGAATAATATCCAGAATACTTTTAGTGAAAACTCTTGTGTCAGAAAGATGTCCCCTCTTTTGCTGACAGGTTATGAAGATGTCCCATCTTTTCTTAACCAGTGGAAGCTTAAAAGAAGTCTTATATTATTCTTTACAATGCGCTAAGTTAGAGTAAGGCGGTGCAGCTAGTGCTATAGCTTTTTGAATAATATCTAGAATACTTTTAGTGAAAACTCTTGTCAGAAAGATGTCGCATCTTTTGCTGACAGGTTATGAAGATGTCCCATCTTTTCTTAACCAGTGGAAGCTTAAAAGGAGTCTTATATTATT